GGAATACCTCGCGCGATGCTACCCGGCGCGTCGGACGCGAGTTCCCGCGTTGTCGACGAAATTATGTAAAATAATTCCTCGCTAACTTCGCGTGCGCTCGGTGCAGATTTTGAATCGGGATAGCGCGATACGGATTCGGTATTCGCCACCTCGGGATATATTAGTTCTGCGCGTTTTTTGTGCGTATCGAACCCTAGCATACGTCCGAGCTTGTCGGAGAATTTTACACAATGGGCCAAAGTGCATTGTTTTTTGTCGTACTTGAGACTCATGAAGACTCTGCCGCCGTGTTGAAAATCCACCTGCCAAACGATGTGCGCACCGATCTCTGCACAGACGCTGTTTAAGGCTGACATCAAATCCGATAGATCGCGGTAAACGCCGGAGGTTATTCAGGCGGTTTCGATCTCGACCAGCTCGTGCTCCCCGATATTGACGAAGACGAATCGGCTCTTCTCTCCGGTTTGTATGTGCAAAAAACTGTAGGGAAACTGAATCTCGGTGAGCGCGACTTCCCATTGACCGCGCAAATCCACTCGTTGAGGTAATTCCGTGATAAACGACGTGGTCGTATTTTCCGGAAAGTATCGCATGCTGCTGTTGCTAGGTAGAATCATGAGAAATTGTTCTCGCATTATGTCCGAGCGATTTCAGATTCGAAGCGGATATCCACGAATTAAATTTAGAGGGGTATCCTCGCCAGCTAACTAGCAATTTCTTACCGGCGCCGCGCCCCCTGCTTTTTATCACCTTGTCGACGATAAACACCTCTTCTTGCAAATTTTTGCCCACCCTCGTTAGTTCCTGTTCGTAGAATATTCAGTCTATAACTTCACCCGATAGATCGCTCAATTCGTATACTCTCGGCTCTCGCCACGCGAGAACGCAATGAATTTGAAATATTTCCTCGCTCCAATCCGCCTCGTATCCTTTCTCGAAGATGCCTTTCGCCCTACTGACTCGCACCAGATCGCCCACCGCATATTTAGCCTTTCGTTTACGAACTCCCCCCTTGCGCTCGTATCGTCGTTTCGTATTTTCGCGTGCGATGCGAGCGTTTTCCAGCGTAACAACGCCTGCATCAAAGTGGCGGAATGACGGGTGTGATTGTAGGCGCGCACGATATCTTGCAAAATATCGATATAACGATGCGTATTCCGATGAGTAAAATAGCGCTACATTCGTGAGCGTTCTATTGAAGCGCTCGATTACAGCGGCTTTGACATCGGGATTTCGAGTTACGCGAAAACGTATGCCCTTTTCTTTCAAAAAGTTTTGAAAGGGACGCGCGAGGAATTCTTTTCCCTTGTCTGTCTGTAGATACACAGGTAGCCGTCCCTCGCTCCTCGAGAGCACGCGTCGGAGTGCCGCCGTCACGCTAACACCTGTTTTGTCACGTATCGCTTCCACCCAGACGTATTTGCTGAGCACATCGATAATCGTGAGCAAGTAACAGTAGTCATCGTTGTAGTTCTTGAGATTGCGAAGCTCGATCAAATCAGCCTCCCACACGTCGTCAATATTCGTCACGTTGTAATGTAAGCGGAGAAATTTGCGTCGTATCGGTCTGTGCAGCGTGTACGCGTCTTGTGACTCGATCCAACTAATAATTTCGTTTCGATTGAAATCCGACTCGGCGGCGCGCGAAAGATTTTCCACGGCTGAGTACCCCGCATAGTGCGCGGGATTATAGTATAATTTTTCCAGCCCCGTCATTCCAAAAGGTTCCAATCCAACAATCGTCTCTTCCTTGCGAATTTAGAATTTAGAATTTCGAATTTAGAATTTCTGTCACTCACGCGCGTTTTATTCTTCTTGTTGTTGCTGGATATAAACACCTCGTTGTCCCGCTCCTCTTCGAACGGTCTCACCGGATCTGCGTTTACCGGCCGCCATCCTTGTCCCGGGAAAAGTTACGTTTTTACGCGCCGACGACGACGACGGACCTTCGAGGATATACGCGTTACTGTCCAAAGATTCTCGGATATTCCAATTTAACAATCGCATCTTCCTCGCGAGTTTGGAATCGCGGCCGCTCACGCGGATTTTGTTCTTGTTACCGTCACCGGATATAAACGCCAAGTATCCCTCATCATCGCGCTCATCTTCGAGCGATGCTTCGTCGAACGCGCGTTTATCCACTCGCGCTCTTACTCTTGGAATAGGGGTGCTACTACGTGCTGCTAAATCATCAGGAATAGAAATGCTATCGCGCAAAGGCGATTCTTCGGTGAAAATCTGACGAATGCTCTTCTCTCGTAATTCACGATTTCCCACGAATTCGGAAGGAGTAGCTATATTGCGCAATGGTCGAGCGAATCGGCCTCTCCCCGTCGCTTTTAAGGTTTTTCTCTCGCGTACCGCATCGTTCACAAATTCGGCGATGTTCGTTCCTTTTAAAACGTTTCCGTCTATACTCACGACCCCTTGTCTGTCCCAGCTTATTCTAACGGGCATCGCCACATCGTATAAAAGTCGCAATAGCTTGCGCGCTTTACCGCGATAACTTTTCGGGATTTTATCCAGTATTCCTCTGATGCTTTTCTGCTCGCCGCGGCGTCCTCGACGGGGGGCTTCGCCGACGGGGCGGCTCAATGCGCTCGCGTTATCTTCATCGATACGTGCCTCCGTCGGTGCATCCTCCTCCTCCGCTTCCCTTGTCACTCTCTCATGATGACGACGATCGAGCTCCGGTTCGTCATCGAGGACGTTGTCGTTTCCGTCGTCTTCGGGACGATTGTTTTCGGCATCGTCGCCGTTATTGCTAACGCCCACGTTTTCGCGCATTTGTTGATTTTTTTCTTCTTCTCGGAAAAAATGCACGTTGAAGCACCTCTCTGTACAATTCCCATTTCTCGCGATCCGGCATCGTTGAGTCGAGAATTCGTCTCATCTCGGCGTCGAGTCGCGACAAAACGGTTCCCGGGGTGTGTACGGTATTTTCACCGGATCCCGCGTCGTTATTCGCCGAAACGGCGGGAAACACGGCGGGTTGTTGTTGTTGTTGCTGTAGCTGCTGCTGCTGCTGCTGCATTCTCGCGAGACTTTCCACAGAAACCAAAACCATCTTTCTCGCTTTTTCTATGATTCATCCGCGCGAGCGTTCGATTTAATTAATTTCGCGATCTACCGATAACGCTTGATAGAATAGCACCGAGTATGGGTCCGATCAGGTAAGGCAAGAATCCCCCTCTTTGCACGATAATTTTCCTCTTGGCTTTCAAATTAGTGCGTTTACTAGCGATATTCCGCAGCGCAGTTTTGTACCTGGACAAACGACTTTTTTCCCGCTGGTCGAGCGGTACGTTACCTCTGAGCGTGTTGAAAGCGCATTCACAGATACAGGTGATGAAATCGTTACCTGCGCTGCGTAAGAAGGAGGTCCGCTCTTTTTTCGTTAAATAGCACAGTGCTTTCAGAAGGCAGACGTTTTTCCGGCCAATGGAGCGACACGCGATACTCGTCGCTCTATCGCTACTCCCGCGTTTCGACGATGTCATCGCGAAGACGCGACTGTCGCGATTCGGGTGAGCGTGCAGAGTTTTATACGTGATTTCCCGAAGATCTACGCAGGACGTAAACATAATGAGCGTTATCCGTGAGGAAGATGCACGCTCGAAATCGATATTCGTCGGACTGTTTCAAATCGAGCAGCAAATATCCGTGCGGTCGCGAAATAGCGTCGTGGTACGCCTCTTCCAGAAACTTCGGATCATCCGGATAAACTTGACGCGCCAAGTGGCGAATTTGCGCGCGATCGCGAGGATTTTTGAATACCACGATGTAATTGCTGTTGAGAGAAATATCCCGCTGTCCGCGACCTTGATGAAAGAGATTTTGGGAAATCAGTATAACGCTGAGGTTCTTGTGATGATTACCTTTTGTGAACGAATCCACAATCACGTCGCAAGAGGACGATTCCCTTATAAGGTCGTCGATTATCACTAATTTTGCGCAAAGCGAATCGTGCGAGTAATCATCGGGGCGGGGTAAACCCTCGCGAAACTCGATTATATTTCCCCCCGCGCGCTTTCCGATGTCGCACGATGCCGCCCCGGACTTTTCGCGGCGGTACAACGAATCCACTTCGTGCTGCAGTTGACGATAGGCCTTCTGCCACTCCGCGTAATAAAACAAAATTCTCTCGAAACGGACGTCGGACATGACGAACAAATGACGAAGAAAAGTCTTCACGAAGATCGTTTTACCGCATCCCGTCGGACCGCAAACGATCGACGTCCAAGGATGCCTCCAGCGCACGTCCATGTCGCGCGAACAAGCGGTCTCCGCGCGCGACTCTCTGGGGGAAATGAAAAAAGACCGGTTCGCGAGCGCGGATTTATATCTCGAATCGCGCGACTGTGGGCTAGCAAATCCACGCGGGGGGCCCACGCGGCGGCCGCGGCGCGCGCGCCAGCGTACATCCGTGGGGACGCGCGAGCGCCGCGGGAAAGAGCTCGCTGAGGCGCTGCGCGTTCGCGTCGCCGCGAGCGTGCTTCCTCACGCGACGCGCAAAAAGCTTATTTAGCGCTGGGAGAAAGATACAGCTCGTATATCCCAGCGCTAGAACCGTGATTGTTGAGCTTATCGCGTTGGAACAAACGATATTTCTCGCTTCACGCTCAGCCGGAATATTTTATCCTCTTGTTTGAAAGTTACTTTGCGCTTAAATATCGCGCGCAAGAAATTCAAAATTGTTTCGCTCGCTCGCTTAAAGTCTAGGAGGGCTGGAGGGGATATGAGTATGTGTAAGAATAAAAATTGATTTAAAAAGTTTTTTATTTTTTACATTCGTCTTCGTTGCATATAAAAGTCCTTCTTTTAAAGTATAGCGCGTAAAATTTACATAGATCTTTTTACAGGAGGAGTAAAGAGGCGAGTATATTCCGTATATTTCGCATTTTTTCTTATATTTTACAGTTTTTACATTTTTCTTATCCTAGGAATAATTTTAAAATCTTACGCTACAAATAAGTAAAACAAAGGAGAGAGATATGTCGCTATTCGCTGGAGACGTAACCATACGGTACGGAGTATCCGTTGTCGTTAAAACTGCGCTTTAGCAATACCGGCATGCAGGACTTTGTCTCGTCTCTTGTGATGATGTCGTGAAATACGGTGCGCCGAATCGCGCTAAATCGCAGTTTTATCACGGTTTTATCCTCACCCATCTTTTCTTCCCTCTTTAACTTTTTGTCGGTTAGTAACAACGACTTAATGGAGCTAAAATTAACCACGCGAGAATTTTCAAAATTCAGGGTTATCCCCTTTATTTTGCAAATTTCTCGCGCGCGTCTTTCGCCCGTGCGAACGACGTAAGCGTAAAATTTCGGGCCGGCGGATACGAACGTCTCGATGTAGCTACCGGGGCCGTGACTATCGAGTCCGTTCGTCATATTGCCCAAAAAATTTCCCGTACGCGTCGTACTCGTCGGGATCACCGGTACTCAAATATATGCACGAATCGGTATCGTAATATAACACGCGACGATCTAACTTTTCTAAATACGAATATAGTTTTAATCGGACTAACGCCGTGGTGTAAGCAGCTATCGCGACGCTGGTCAGCGGAGACGGAGTGACGGCTTCTCGCCTCATTCGCCACGAAACATATATCACTTCGTCGTTTACGGGCAATACATTTGTTATTTCGTGCTCCGGGCTCGTGAGCAGAGCCGCGAAACTTTCCCACGTTCTAACGATCTCGGTATTCGGTAGATTGGACCGTTGACCGAATTTACCCCAGAAGGAGTTGAGACAGAGCTTCGCGACCGAGCGCAAGCCTGGATTCGGGGAGATATTCGCCCTATTGAGAACAATACCCTCAACTTTCTCATATTCGCGCAGATAACGTTCCTTACCTCCTTCGTCATTCGCGCATTCGTTCGGCCATCCACTAGCCTCTTGCTTCAATTGCAGAAAGCAGTTGATATACTCGGTGAACAATCCCCCCCGCCGCGTAACCGGATCGTATCGCGTGACTTCGTAGCTCCATATTTCGCTCACGCTCGTGACGCAATAACCTTTCTCGATAGCTTTGCGTAACTCGCAAGACACCCACGCACCTTCGAATTCGCGATCGGCAGGGTCGTGCGTACACGCGGCCTGAGAAAATGTCTCGCAGCAGCTGCGACAAAGCGCGAATAGCAATTTTCCGTTCACGCGATAAGGGAGTACCGGATGGAAGAGATCACGCGGCGCAAGCACTCTGCAACGTACGAGACCTTCTACGGCGTCAAAGTTAAAATCGGGGCTTGCTCCGATCAAGGCGCAACACTCCTCATCCACGTAAATGTCCGGATGACCGAGCGGAAAAGTACCCGTCTTCAGCACATACGGGTACAAAGAACACACGTCAACGTAGCGTATCTTCTCCGTACCCGTAACTTCGTACCGCGTGATGATATTTTCCGTACGCCCGCCGTGGAACGCCTCGCGAGGTTCGAGGGGATTGTTTCTCAACATGGGATGATTCTCAACGAATTCGCGTATCTCACGATTTTCGCGCAGCTGCCGATCGAAGATACACTCCCACTTTTCCGTAACGACGTAGCCCTGTTTTCTAAGACGACGCGTCGTCGCGAGTATGCGCTCGTAACGCGCTTCGATCGTATCCTCGCGCGACACGGTTGAGAGCGGTCTGTCACGGTTCACGCGAAAACACTCGGGACATTCGTGCCAAAAACAGCCGTGAAACTGCAGCACGTGACGCTGCCAGGGATTCTCCGTCTCATAATAGCCGTCGACGAGCGTGCCTTCCAATAAACGCCGTTCCCGACCTCTCCCCGCGTGAATTATCGAGCGTCCGAGCTCATACTCCATCTGCAATAACCATTGCAGCGCTTTACGCGATTGCGCGTTGGCACCCCTATAACCCCCGATTATCCCAATTTCCTTCTCGCGCAAAAAGTTTTTGCGAAAAACTTTCATACACGTGGAAGCGATAGTCGTGCATTCTTCGAACGGGCACACGTTTTCGCGATCTAGGAAAATTTTTTGATAGGCCAGACACGCTCGTCGAAGAATATCTACGTCGTTCCGGCAATAGCGCACTATCTCCCGTTGAAAATTAAATACCGCGTTTTTACCCGTCATTTCCACGTGCCACGTTAAAAATTGTTCGCGTTCGTCCGATTTCATCGTATCCGGTGAATAATAATCAATATCCGGTAGCGGGCTGATATAATTTTGATTTTCAATTGTGTTGAATAAGTGCGGAAATACGCCTTTGGCGACGGAATCCTTCAGTCCGAAAGCTTTCGGTAACGCCGACAGCCGCATAGGCATGTAATTAGCGCTATCGAGAAATTTTGTCCGTCCCACGGTTAATAATACAATTTTTGTCCCATTTAATATTACTTTCGGCTCGTCCGTCCTACCGCTCTCGACCAGGTAGCGCAGGATGAACTGCGAGTCGAACGCCGCCGCATTGTGCGCGATACAGATGAAGCAGGAGAAACGCTTC